GCATTTAAAAAAAGTGCAAACAATTTAGGGCACCAGAATTTCTTGCCCAAAATTTGTTTGCACTTGTTTTCTTATATTCTTCAATATTTCTAGAAATGAACCCTAATTTTGTAGTCAACTGACAAAATTTGAGTCAATTTTCAGTTTGTATTAAAAAATTTGGCTATTTTTGTCTTCTGAAGGAAAGTGCAGACTATAAACATGATTTTTTTTGTGAATTTGTGATAAAAAGAGGGAACTGGTGGTGAAAAGGTTCAAATATGACTTATTTTGACCATAGACATACCTCAGTCATATACATAAGCCAATCTACTCTAGAGTTTTTATTTAGTCTATGAGAACACATGCATTATAAATAGAGAGAATATTATATAATAGTAAACATCCAATTTCCAATGAATTTTTTAGGGCGTCAAAATGTTGGTGATCATTTCAGTTGCTACTTGATTATTTGCCAAATGATTGGAATAGTGATTCAATACTCTTGGATTCACAAAGCTTTGCATCAACTCTGAATCACTGAGGCCTACAGTAATTTGGAAAATGAGCAAATTCAGAAATCATTGTTTTCATAGCATCAGATATTGGTGATCTCAGTGTGCAACATTTACGGGAGTTGTCAATGACCATACATGTTATTGTGTCTGACAGCAATAGTTCATGAATGGATATCACCACAAATGAAAAAAAAAATGATGTCTCATTAAACTATAACATACATTTACTTACCAGTAGTTGAAAGGTATGTCATATCTTTGGATGCATCAAACAATAAATCTATGTTAGATACAAGTGATGTAATATCAACATTCTTCATAGTTTTCCATGCTTTCTTGCTTGTTCTTCCTGCTCTTTCTATAGCTATTAAATGTCCATATTTGGGATGTAAATCATCTACTTCATTTAAGAATAGTTTGGCATTCTCCAATGATGCTTCCTGTCCAGGAGGTGGGAATGACAATACATCTATTTGTTGTGAGAGGATACCTACAATTGGATGAATATCAAATTAATGATGAGAATTTAGGCTTCAAGCACATACATATGAATGCACAGATAAATGAATCTCAAACTATAGCCTGAACAGGGTATAATGAAACAAATAATTAATAAATTAGTTATTAAATTAATAAATAAACAGTAATTGACAGTTTTCTGATAAATGATCTCTCAATGATATGTTGATATTGGTACACCAGGTTTTTTTCTAAACCGAGGAACATGGGCGCAGCGCCCTGATACTCTCGACTGGCGCCCTCTTACCAAATTGCCGATTTAACTTTAAAGTCATAAATATATTTCTTGAGTTGTGAACTTCCATGCTGCCGTACGACATGAAATCTTTCTCAAATATATTTTTCTCCGTGAAACACCAGCTGACAATGTGTCTGCACACCAAATACGCTAAAAATACTCCAAAAATATTTCAATGGCGATAGATAAATCGTTAAAACAGCGCAGAAAGCTTCCAATATGTGTGTGCTCCCTCTTGTTCATTTTTTCTAGAAAAAACCCTGGTACACACACAAATCAATATGTTCAAAAGCAGTTAATAATTTATACATATAAAGCTCTGTGCAATAAAGATTACAAGGAAAAATCATAAGATGCAAACATATTTTGCAAGTCTGTGAAATGATCAATTGTGACAACATTTTTCCATTACCTTTCGAGACAAGGTCAGCAACAATGTCATTCATTAATTTTTCCATTTCAGTATCTACTACAATGGTAACTTGCTTTCCCATTGCTTGCAGCATAGTTGCCATGGCAAAAGTTCCTGACAAACCGTCATTCTCATATGGAACAGGTTTATTTGTTAGACAGGGAAAACCTGTTGTTATGGCAACAGAAGATGCATGAGATATGTTGAGAGCAGACTTGATCAGGTCTCCTTTCACTATGAGAGAAGAAATGCCTCGATTACCTGAAAAAACAAACAAAGCATTGTTATTAAACAACTACAGCCAAGCACTAATCATTGTACGATGCTTAATGAATACATAGTCCTACTGTCAAATAGATTATGGGTCAGGTCAGAATTAGGTTAAAGAAATATTCTATAATAATAAAACATGTGACCTTTTGAATTCCACATATTCTAGAACAAGTAGCCTGTCGGCTGAGATAGCTCTGCTGTTAGCAATGCACATTTCAATTAAAGAACTGAAGATATCATTAGAAAATGAACAATATGTATATGTAGTATCAAAGCAATCACTTTTTATCAAAAATTACAAAAATATTCACCAAAATTAGAGAATTAAAGAATGAACAAATCTAAGAAAGGTCCACATATAGTACCTATATATGCAATATCAAAGCAATCGGACTTACAGTTTTTAACAAGAAGTCGAAAATAGCATTTTTTACCAAAAATGCCGAAAAAATATTCACCAAAATTTGAGAATTGAAGATATCATCATGAAATGAACAAATCTAAGAGAGGTCTACCCAAGGTACATATACACCAAGTATCAAAGCATTCAGGCTTGTAGATTTCAAGAAGAAGTCGAAAAAGTAAAACATTGACACAGACGATGACGAACGACGACAAAAGACGACGACGAACAATCACTCATATGATAAAAACTGTGTGATGCCAGTTATTTACATAATATGTAAATTATGTACCACTACACTTACCAGGATCTTCGTTCATAGCACTTTCTAGTTGCTGAACTTTATTTAACACTGACTCTCCAACTGCACTGGCAAAGAATGGATTTTCTCTTATGGTAATGACCCTGGGTTTGTCGTTGTCATCAATCTTTACATTCAATGTTGCAGGGCTGTCAGAAATATACATACAGCCAGCAAAATGGGTAAAAGCCAATGGCGAACCTAGTAGGAAAAACCTAATTCAATAAAGTACATAGAAAAACAAACATACTGTAGAGGCAGAAATATTTAGATTTAAAATCAATGGTTTGTGTATAAAACAATACATTGTCAGGATAATACCTGGATCAACTAAGGAAGACATAAGGTGCATTTTCAGTGGGTTTTCATGTATTGCTTTTGGAATGCATAGTAATAATAGCACAAATACAAATGGCACAGTGGAAATGGCACAGGAAATAATGACACAGTGGAAATATAAATACCCAGTGACCAGTTGTTGTTAACACAAAAAAAAGATGGAAGCCAGTCGGCCATCTTTGATCTGATTATGGAACAAACTGACATCGACATGTATTTCTAGATGTATGATGTTTGTGTCAAATATGAATGAAAATGGTCCAAAAGGCTTGGAGATATAGTAGTATGGTCAAAAATCAATATGGCCACCAGTCGGCCATCTTTTATATGATTATGAAACAAACTGAAATGGGCATTAGTTCCAAAATGTATGATGTATGTGCCAAATATGCATTGCCAGAAATGGACAATAGAATCTGGTCAAGTAGGGATTTCCTGTCTATACCATTGCAGTGACTATAATTACATGCAAAATTATTCAAGACAACGGATGATGTAATAGACTTTAAAGATCTATTGTTTAGCCTAATTGAGAGTCTATTGTTATAGTTTATATAATTTAATTATTTAAGTAGTTCACAGCTTGGGGTTGGAAACAATAGTAAGTGAGGTAATCTTTTGTTTCCTTTATTCTGTGCCCACTTGTATTTGTTAGCTGATCATATGAAGCCATGTAATAAATGGTGTTAGTTGCCAGAGAACGAGATACCATTAGGTACACTCTTATGGTGGTATTGAAGACAGCCACCCATTAAATACTTAATACAAAAATATGTGAACAGACTAATCTTGTAAATATCATTGTTTTCGTCAATGGCGATTGGTACGCAAACTACATTTGTCTGACGCATTATAAAACAAAAGTCAAGACTGTCGTGGAACAATACACAACTCACGGACAGACAGTGGGCTGAAACGCCTCTTTTATAAAAAGGGAAAACGACCGATACAATATATCGATCTTGCGGTCTGACCTTCAGCATCAAAAGCAGTATGGCGATAGTGGTTTGCGCTCGAAAAGTGGGGTGATTTAACATGGACTAACCATGCTCTTTTTACCTCCATGAACTAACGAGCATAAAAGAAATCTTGATTCAGGTTACTTCCTGTTGTTAATTGGATTAAAACAGTTATATTTGCTAACAACTGAATTGTATATCTGTGTAAAAAATGCATGAA